ACAATTACACAATACTACCCTTCATGTTTGTTTAACACAGTAAAGAAACAATTACACAATCTTACCCTTCATGTTTGTTTAACACAGTAAAAGAAACAATTACACAATCTTACCCTTCATGTTTGTTTAACACAGTAAAAGAAACAATTACACAATCTTACCCTTCATGTTTGTTTAACACAGTAAAAGAAACAATTACACAATCTTACCCTTCATGTTTGCTTAACACAGTAAAAGAAACAATTACAAAATCTTACCCTTCATGTTTGTTTAACACAGACAGGCCTAAAGGGGTGTTTCCCATTTTATCTTTCACGTCAAGTATCTTCATTTTCTATAAATGGAAGCAAATATAACTTTAATAAAAACCTGCCAGTGTGATTTTAACTCTAATAACATTTTAAATTTGATATTGATTGTAATCTAAGAACACTATAAAAATTCACTTTAACACAGAATGTATCCTACATCCATCCTTCAGAAATTATACAAACTAACCTGAGCAAGAAGCATGCAGGAAATGGTTGCTCCACAAGTAGCAGCTAAGTGTAATGGTGTTTGTCCATTATTATCAGCTATGTCAACAGGGCAAGCTCCCATAGCTCTGGTCAGGAGATCCACCAATTCTACTGGGTCTTTGTGGAAAGAATTATTCTCCCTGGGGAAAAAGTTCCAATCAATTTAGCTGTTTAGATGAGACAGTGGCCAAATGTAAAAGCAAGATGGACAACGTTATATTCACATATCACAAACAAACAAATCAATCTTGCAAAAAACAATGAAATCCCTCTTCTTGTCAGTCACACTGTAATATGCAAAAATATGTTTCTTTTTCCTAATTAGACACATCAGCAACCTGAAAGAACAGCCCAATTATTTGCAAGAATTAAAACAAATCCTCATCCAAAATATTTGCAAGAATTAAAACAAATCCTCATCCATCACACAATTAATATACTGCTGTAAAAAGAAGCTACAAAATTCTATATTTTTCAGAAAATAAAATCAGGGGTAGTGTAAATTATCTTTCCCTTCCCTCACTTATAAAAACACCATTCACTGTCTGAACCAACACGTGTAAAGTCACTTTGGTTTTGGTTGCTTTCAGAATAAAAAATTAAAATATAATTAAAAGTATGGAGAAACTGCTGAATTATGCTATCTATAAGATTAAAATTATTGTTCTATTAATCAAAAAATACACGATTAGTTTACAATGACAGTCTGTATCTTAACACTCTCACTACAGGTTCAGTCAAAATGGCTGAGTTCATGACTCCAAACTGACCATTACAGTTTCCATACTATAACTTTTAATGTTTTGTGTATCTTCACGTAATTTTGAAAGCTTTCAGTAATAATTAAGAATTTTTTAATGAAGTATTTTTACTAAAACTTTCTACATGAACATGTGAAGCCAAAGTGTTGACTGCTACGACTGCAAAGTGAGTTTCATGTTAAGATTAAAAATATTTTTCTTCACCTACAAATTCTCAAATTTTATTTGCGTAATCTCTAAAATCTCGTAAATAAATTTCCAAGTTTCTTCAGTAAATCTATATTTTATCTGCTATTTTCTCTACCCTAAAAATATACGAGGTTGGTCAATTTCATTGACCTCGTAACCACCCCAAAAAAATTTAAATTACCTTTTTTTTCTAGAATGACTTCAAATTGTGTCATGAAACTACATCTGTTTATTCTAAATAGCTTTAAACTTGTAACAGTATACATCTGTTTCTACTTGTTTTATTGTCCTTTACACATGTCAAACTAATATTACCACCATACATTACATTAACTTATCGAATTACATAATGCAAGGGCAACTCGTGAATTGCTCGTGAGCATACCTCAAGAAAAATTTTCCTTATTAATATTATTCATATTATCTGATCTAACCTAAAAAATTTCGAATTTTTACATTATAATATTAAATAAATAAACTGTGCACATGAAAAAGAAAAAATAAAGTACTTATCCAGCTCTTGTTTTTTAACCCCACTTTCTTATACTAATGGGTACTACTATACTAAATACTTTTTATTTAAATAATACACTAAAGAACACAGAATAATACCAGGTCAAAAGCAGATATGTCCTATGACTATCACAATCTTTCTGGCCTTCCAATTATGCAACAGTAGCTGTAAAAAATTCAGCTAAGCCAGTTGATGTATTTCCCGTGGGAATAAAGTTTGAACTGGAAGCAAAATAGACAATTCTCTGTACCAAAACCAACATAATATAATATGTCATTTGATAGATTCAAACCTTGATTTTCTATTGGTTATAAATAATATAGTATTAAACAACAGAGAGAACTATTGGAAATTTCTGAAAGAGAGGATGTTACAGGTGGGCATGACAAGAGAAGTCTGACTTTCTAGTTTATGGCTCTGTAACCAAATAAGATTAAAGGCTATACAAATTGTGCTTTGCCCGAGTAATAACAATGTTATATTGAGTAATTTACATTACATTTCATACTTCTTAGAGGGGTGTTAAATAAATTAGAGAAGAGAAGCCTAGAGAGAAAATGCCACAACTGTCATACTAGAGAAAATTGTAGATTTTATTTTGATATTGCCTCACAAAATTAAGAAATTAAAACTTATATAATATTAAAATTTCGATTATTAGCTACATTATGATGTCAAGCTCATCCTTATACCATGATAATAAAGAAGTTTAATTAAATTTTGAATGTAACTTAGTAAGACCTCTTGACATGTGCAGAAAAGGATGTCCGTATGCAGTAAAACTCATAGAAAGTGACCCCAAGCTAACTCTAGGCTTCTATTGTTACCATATTCCTTCTGTATATTTCAATTCCTGTTTGAAGAAGTTAACCTGTTTCTTTTATGTTAGACTTTCTACAACTAGCTTTACGTACTGAAACAATTCAATTTAACAATTCTAACAGGTCTTCTTTTCTTACCGAGTAAGTTTAAAGAAGGCATAATGGAGTGGAATTCTTCTGAAACTGTCAGTCACATCAGCTTTAGCTCCTTTCTGCAGCAGATAGTCCTGAACATCTAAAGACACATCTGTACCTCCTGCATGGCTATTCACTGCTAGATGAAGAGGGGTTTGAAGAAGACTGTTCGGAGCATTAATGTTTGCCCCAGCATCAACTAGCACCTTGACTAGATCTATATCTATTACAACAGGATAAAAAAATGGGCTGTTTAAATAGTAAAGAACATAAAAAACGGTGCACAACAGAGGGGTGTTCAGCGTAAACTAGAATTTTCTTTTCCATATGCTAGAAACAAGACTGAGATTAATGATTAATCAAATCAATAAGTTAAAAGTCCATCCATCTCTAGAAGTTCTCCTGTAACCTGCAGAGATGAGTTCAAAAAATAAAAACTTTTTTGCTTGTCCTAGGTGTTAGCCCATAAAAGCCTAAGCCTCCCCAAAGTCACAGAGATCTACATGTCCTTTGATGCATTCTACACACTAAATGTTCATATCATTTCCTGCTCTAACGATCAGTAACCACACAACTTTTGCCACTTTACCTCATGTTCCAATTATCAAAATTACAGACCAATCAACATAAAAACTGTTCAGTAAATTTTAGTTAATAATGGTTATGATAATGTAGTGACAAACAGTACATTAGATCTGTGTCCAACTTAGGGTCCATCTAAATTTCACACATAAAAATAATGTCAGATAAAAGAATGTCTACCTAATTCTACACAAAGCAAAAAGAGCACACCATTTGGGCAGATAGTGAAAGATTAAAAGCCCACCTCTGTGCTCACTCTTTTGATTGTCCGCCACTGGAAAAAATTAATTGTAACAGATACGACAGTTGTGGACATAAAACCTAAAATTTTTACTCATTGTTTATATTTTCCACTAGTTTTATTTTTTCACAATTATAAAGATTATGTTAAAAAAGTTACTTTACTTTTAAGTAACACACATGAAGGAATTGCAACCTACACTACAACTGGGTTTAAGATACTTAATGAAATTTGCTAACTGAACTCTTGAACTGTGGCCAAACTGTTTTCATTTTATTTTATGAAATGTACTTAATTTGTACAAGCAAAATTCATGGCATTCTTTCCACAAATTTAAGCCCAGGAAAACTTAAATGGTGTAACAATATCTAACAAAGTAAAAGAAAAGTAACAAATATTACATTTGCATTTTAATAGCAATACTTTATATATAGAAGATGAAGCACAAAAGAGCCAGTAATATTTACATAATTTGAACAACAAAGATCATTAACACAATTAACTACACATTTTAAATTCACTTTTATTTACCTAGAATAATTCCAAAGTTAAACCAGAACTAATATCCAATCTTTAAAGTTGAACCACATTTAAAAGAAAAGTAATCAGTAACTTTAGCTCAAATTACAAAATATCTACAAATTATTGACTATTATATAAATTTTTATTAAAAAATGAGATCATGTACAAAAACAGCAGTGATTAAAATGTAATACAAGATATTACAATGATGTTCTATAAGAGAAGTGCACTGTATGCCTAATTTATATAACATCAACAGTATGAGTAATTTAGGCTTACTGCAACAGAACCAATTTTCTATATTTAAATTCTATTAATGGACAACTTAAAAGGAATCTGAAGTAAAAGAAAAAAATAGGCAGGTCACATGATTTTCATCACCAATTATAGGCCTATTTATTTCTAATGGTTCACCAGCATTTAAACTGTAACTTTTAAATAATTTAACATGTTATCACAAATTTTAGAACTACTGGTTTTTATTTTTCATCACCGTTCAGCTTTTAAAACATAACTTTTAAAGTATCAAACTTAAATAGAAAAAGCATTTCACAGAGTCTTTTGTTTCTGATCGTACTGCCTAACTGACACATTCTGGTATCCAATGAAAGGCAATTTGTGCAGTTAATTGTGGGATACAAAGGATAGATCTGAAACACTATTTTTGTTTGTTTGTTGATAAGGACAAAGATCTATAATGTGCTATCTGTGCTCTGTTCACTGAAAGTATTGAAACCTGATTTTTAGGATTATAAGTATTCAGATTTACAAATAAGCAACACATCTCCAATTCTGAAACCAAAACAGAAAAATATTAAAAAAATGTAAAGAAAATAATCTGCAGTTAATTGGATTTTCAAATATTAGGCCTACTGGTTAATAAAAGAAAACACACAAACATGAGTGTTTGCAGCTTTAAAAAGAATAAGATCATACAATTCAAAATTGCATCAGGCATATGATAAATACCAAGAAAATATAATAAATGAACTATGTCAACATCTTTACCTGAGACAGGCATGTCAACAATGTAATGAAGGGCAGTGTTTCCATTCTTTGGATTAATGGCATTGACATCAGCCTTTTGTTGCACTAACAGGGGGACTAGTTTTGCAAATTCCACTTTTCTATAATAATAAATAAATAACCAGGCTAAAGAAAATAAATTCAAACAAAACAAGAATAGAAAAGAGAATATCTAAATCATCTTTTGCTTTTAAGGTAAAGGTAACAATCCAGAAATTTAACAAATCCACCTCTTGTATTGAAATCAAGATTATTCTGAACATCCCACAAACATTTTGATTAAAGTATGTAATACATAATACTATACATTTAAAATACTATATAGTTGGAATCTAACTTTAGTAATTATTATTTAACACCAAAAAGAACATTTCATGGCAGAGTGGCATAAAAAATGAACACCACGATTTTTTCTCAAACAGAATTAAACTCAGCGTAACAGAAGATAATTCTTTAATATTAGCTAACTCTTTTTTTGCAGTTTTGCTCTCTTTCCAAGTATCTTGGCTCAAATTAAATACTCTTGCTTTAAATTCCATACTATTTTAAGTAATAATTACTCTTAAAACAGAATAGTGTATAAAAAAAATGATCTGATACATTTTGTAAAAGAATGAACAATTAAGACAATTTTGTGTCAGTAAGAATACAATCATTTTATAATTCTAATACTCAAAAACTGATTCTAAAATTGAGTACACACAAGAAGTAATATTTACTGCTGCTGCAAAATAATTAAAAAATTTATTTATATCTACTTTTTTGTAAAATGTATTTAAATACAAATAATTTTGCTTTTAGTATATATCCCACCTATCAGATAAAATCCAAACGCCGATGTCAATCTAGTCAGCCATCATAGAAAATCAAATAAAAGTACGAAGCTGTGTGCTTACACCCATAACGTCTCAACTTGTACTGCCTTTCACTGTCTATAGATAGATGTAAGCACTCAGCTTCGTAACCTTATTTGATTGATTTTTTTATGATTTTCCATGACGGTTGACTAGATTGACATCAGCATTTGGATTCTGTCTGATGGATGGGATATCCCCAACACATTTGGGTGCTATAACCACAGACGTTATCCGTTATGACAGTAAGTGGACAACCTGGACCAATAACTCTAATGTGATATGTATACATCTATGAAACCAGGTGTCACATCTTAATTCATAACTCTAAAAACACATCCTGCTCAAAAGACACAGAAAAATATATTTTAATATTATGAAAAAAAAAAGGAATAATAAACGTCCTTAGTGACTTTTAATGAAAGTAAAACACTTTTGCTAATTTTAAATGGGTAAATTCTTTACCTTGCTGCTAAAAGAAGTGGTGGTAGATTTTGTTCACCTTTATCAGAAAAAATATTAACATCTGCTCCAGCCCTGATCTATAAATACAGAGACAAATGTACACATTTATTCAAATTCTCATTATTATTGTTAACATCATAATTGCAATAACTCCCCAAATAAAAAGTTAAACAAATATAATGTTGGAAACTTGTCCACCATAACTATCTGAATTTCATGGTGAGCTATGGGTATAACTAAATATCAACTATAAACATCAAAAAAATTGTAATATTTTTTTGTAGCTTTTCCATAACTATAAAGGAGATTCTTGAATGTAACTGCAATATTAAATTTAAATAATGTGTGATAAAAAGTCCAATCAATAAAACTATCCCTAAAAAATTATTTAAAAGGCTTTGCAAGCAGCATATAAAAACATTAATAACTTGAAAATAATTAACAGTTAAGCCTAACCCAAATTAGGCTTAACTGAGCAACTTTGTATACCAAGTACTTGTTTATTCCAGATATTCATGCAAAGTTATAAACAGGCTATCTGCATTAGCCATTCCTAATTTTGAAATGATAGAATAGAGGGAAGACATAATTAACAGCACCCAATGCCAATTCTTGAGCTCCTCAACCAATTAATGGATTTAGCTATTTCCCTTGAAACCATTTGCATCCCCAAAGTACAGAGTGCATTCTTTCTCTTCAGCAACCCTCAGGTGTACAGATCAGCATGTTAACCAACAGGCCATGCCCTGCCTACAACAAATACTCTGTCTTAATGCCTTCTTTAAAGAATATACAATGCTGTGTGGGTATTCACTATTTCATTTCTACACAATCAGCTTTGAATTGCATGCAGAAGTTTTCTAAAAAAAAATACAGTACCAAAAGTGTTTTTGATAACTATGAAAAAATATACCTTTATACATTATGAACTTAGTGACATTAGTGCAAATAAGAAATATATAAATATTTACTACATCTTTCATGCTTCATACATAAATTACTTTAAGCCATCAAGGCTGAAATTACCAATTCCATATTGTGAATAACCCAAACTTATGATATTTCGAAAACACGAATATTTAGGCTTGTATGAAATACAAATATTAAGCCTTAAGCTGCTTATTTCATAGATTATTAACTTTTCAAAAGCATAAAAAAAAACATACGGATAATTTAAATCACTAAAGTTCATAGATGCTGTATTACATTTTAGTAAAAACTTCAGGATTACTAATCACGCTTTGAACACATTTTCCTAAACTATCTATGAACCAAATTCCTTGTCCCTAATAACATAGAATCACATAAAAAATTAAAATGGAAATATCAAAGGTACTGAATCTAATAATATTCATTTCTGCCGAGGTCCCCTGTGTCTTATCCAAAAAAAAATTAATCATTTCACTCAATTCTAATTCACAGTGTTGTAACATGCAAAAATACAGTATTTCTCACTATGATGCAATATGTGGTACTCTACCAGTAGTGAAGAGTATAAAAACAAGCTGGTAATTTGAGAGTTAAACAATATTTACCCTTAGTAATAATTTTCATCTAACTGACATCAATAATATAAAAAAAGTGACAACTTTATTTAAGTTTCATATATTAACTGTTAATAACTGGGAGAAAAATAACAGCTAAATATTTACAGACTAAAACTTCATGCATATTGTAAACAGAAAAAAACATTCTGACTATCAAAAAAACAGCACAATTTAGCATATCAAATATGAAAAGGCACTAAAAAATATACATAAACACAAGAATTTAAAACAATAAATGTCTGCAATGCTGATTTTAGTTCCAGTATTTTGATGCTTCTGTCTAGTATCAGTACTACGAAGTGTCACATTTAATCACATAGGATTAAAGAAGTTAAAAGAATCACTTTATGGTTCAATATCACAATAAAACTTATTTATACTCACCAAAGCCTCAGCTGCCTCATAATTTCCAGCAACAATAGCAGTGACAAGGGGGGTTCTACCTTCTGAATCTCTGTTATCAATAGGTGGACGGTGGGCTAACAACACTTCTGTGGCTCGCCCACCTTTACATTTGGCAGCCAGGTGTAGTGCTGAACAAACATCTAAAAAAAAATACACCCAAAACAGTTATCCAATAAAATTTAACTTAGCATTTAACTATTTTTTTTTATTGACAAAATAAAGAATAATGCATACATTTTGAAAATGTGGTGTTTGTGTTCCCAACTTTGTTATTTATTGTAACTTAATATTTCTTTTTTGGGGTGGGGGTCTTAAATATATTTTTTTCATGAACTATAAAACAATGTGGTAAAAATTGATCACCAACAAGTGTATGTAAAACGTAAACATTTTAATAATATTCCACAATACATATTAACTTTTATTTAAACTTTGCTTTTTTTAAACATTTTAATGTATGAAAAATGTTCAATTAAAAGAAAATAAATGACCCACATGTTCTTTCTTTACTAACCTGCTCCTGTTTTCTTATCTTTAACCAAAGCTGATACATCTGAACAAAGATCTTCAAGCAAAAACTGAAAATATAATTCATAAATACATAAACCACTGCTCTTAATACCACTCTTCCAAATAATTTCAATAACATACTGTTGATAAAGAGAGAGAAATACTAAATCAACTTAACAATTCTTAAATCTCTTTGTATTATAGCTAATTATCTGTACTACCTCAACCTCCAAAATAAAAAACACAAAAAAGGTGAAAATCTAAGTTCTTTGGTATAATAAGTAACACTAAGAAATATATCTACAATATAATCTATACAATTTTTCTGAAAATCTGTTAATTACCAAATATTTTGTGTGTGTGTGTGTGTGTATATATATATGGTAATTTTATGGATGGCCCAAAAATCGGTTTTTGAGGAACAAAAAACATAGTATTCTTAAGATTTTTGTGTTATTCCTTTAAATTTGTAGCCAATATAAACAAATGAGCTACAATATTCAGGAATCTTTACACAATAGAGATCAGATAAAATACCCTTAGCTATATAAATTAACACTTTGATGTGAATCATTAAACAACAAATAGTATTTAGAAGAAAGAACAATGGAAAAAATCAAGGCATAAATTTCAAGCATACTGAATACAGCATATCACAATCTACCACATAAAAATAATAACCAGTAAAATACAATCTTAAATAGGAGAAAAGCCCTATATTCCAAGAAAAATAAATATATATTGAATTTTATTCATTAAATAAATGCATTTGATAACTTACTTTGATAAAGTGTAGAAGTCGTTTAACTGATTCAGTTCTTTTCTGGGTGGAAAAATAAATAAATTAATTGAAATAATGTAACAGTAAGATAACTTGTTTTTGCTAGTACCAACTACCAAATCAATTTTGACATGAAATGTATTAAAAGGAAGAAAATATTGTTGATTAAATGAAATGTCATATACAGAGGGTTGAGTATATCATATTCATATGACTTTGAATATGTTAATTAGAAAGTCTTATGAAAATAAAAGCCAATATAATCTCAGTAGTACAGAATGTATCAGAACTACATTTTGACGTTGTTTGGCATTTAACTCTCTCTACAGGCTCGGTCAATTCGACCAAGAAATTTACCTCAAATTAAGTTTTCATACGAAAACTTCTAATATGTTTTGTGTATCTTTACAAATTTTCTCAAGCTTTTAGTAAGCACTAAGAGTAACTTGTAGAAAAAACTCAGAAATTTTAATGAAGTATTTTCACAACATAAAATTAGAAACTTATTAGGTTAGATAAGGTAATGAAAAATAATAATGAAAAACAAAGAATCTTCACAGGATATGTTCATGTGCACCTTGTGCATTACGGAATTCGATATGATAACACAAGCTACAAGTTTGCCAATCATTGGTAAACAACAGAATATAAATCAACTTGGGGCATTAGGATCCAGAAATAGCCCTGCAGTAAGTCATACTCCCCAGTCATTGTAAGTGAAGTGTGTAAGATTAGAATTCATGAAAATAACTTTTGGTGGCAAAAGCCATCCAGGTGCCCCAAGTAACAGCACACAATATAATCAAGTGATTTACAACTTGTGTAGCAGGATTATTAGTTAGACACAGGTCAAATGTCAATAAAACAATAAATGTTACAAGCTTTAAGCTACTTAGGATAAACTATTGTGGTTTTATGTTACAATTTACAGTCATTCTAGAAAGAAAAAAGGTAAGTTAGATATATTCTGCTCTTTTTTTTTTAAGGTGGTTACAAGGTTGGTCAAATCAACCAGGTATGTACAAAGTTAGGGTTGAAAAAATAACAGATTAAATCTAAAGTTTTACTGAAAAAAAAATTATATCATTTAGGTGATTTTAGAGGTAATGCAGATGCAGTTTGACTATTTCCAGATGACAAAATGTATTTTTAATCTTAACATGTAAATCACTGTGCTCGAAGCAGTCAACACTGACTCCAGATATTCACTGATTTTTTATGTACAACAAAAGACTTGTAATGTTTCCTGGAAGCTCGCAACTTTCGTGAAGATACACAAAACATGTCAAAAGTTATAGTATGGAAACTCTGAAGGTTACAGGGTTGATCATATTGACCAAGCCCACAGTGAGAAAATTAAGATGCAAAACATTTATATACTCCCACTCAAATCATAAAGATGTATTTAGATCAAGGATTTAGAATTTCCAAGACTGGGATATTCCTTGTATTTAAAATCATTGGTAAACAACTTGGTGGTGATTTATAAGATTAAAATCTGTGAAAATAAATTTTGGTAGCAAAAGCCATCTAGGTGTCCCAAGCAACAGCAAACAATATAATCAAGAATTATTGGAAAGCAACACTACTCATGAATACAACTGTTCCAGCAACATGCCCATTCAACTGTTGCATACCTCAAGCAGCTGGAAAATGAAACAGGTATTCATACTGTTTAATACGAAGAAAAGCCAGTTAAATTTCCAAATGCAATGCCTATCAATTTCTGTGCAATTAGACTGTTAAAATGGGTTCCAAGTAAACATCCTCCTCCTATACTATAAAGACTATGGAGAACAGCAGGGAGGAGGGGTATGCTTTAAACATGACAAACTTAAGATAAGAGCATTTCACAATGCAAACTATATTGCCAGGCTATTGTGAAGATGCGCAGTTATCAGAGGGAGTATGACTGAACATGGCAAAACAGACTGCAGACATGATGAGGATCCAAAACCATTTTAATATAATGTACTCAACCACAGTATAATATTCAAAAAAATGTTTATACTAAGAAGATAGATTAAAACAAATATAGTCAAGAAACACAAAGATTTGTGAAACAAGTAAAGAATTTTAATAAGTTGAACATTCATACAAATGTTTAGGAATTAAACACATTTGGCTTCTAAAAGCTTTTTACTGGTTAGTAAAATAAATTTTCAGCTTTCAAAAATATCCTTTAAAATTTCTACAGAACATACCTGAACAATTAAAAACTTAATCATAACTAAGTAAAATTAAATTTACTGTTTAATCTACAAACCTTACATAAAATAGAAGAGACTTAAACTTCTTTAGTGGCACAAAACATTCTGATTCTCTTAGTTCATACAATTATCAACAAAAAAACATATCTGATTTATTCAATGCAAATAAACAATACAACTCACTGTTGTCTTCAGAGACCACAGAGCTTCTAACAGGGGTGTACGACCATTACTGTTGTACCTCGTGGCCATGTGGCGCAAAAGTTCACGAGGAGAGGAATCAGGTGACTTACTTTCCTGGAACATGTGTACAATAAATTTTCATTCCAAGAATCACAGAACTAATATTATTGTAACAGAAACAGACAACCAAACAACTGAAGAGTCCTTTTCAGGTTATTTTTAAGCAACTTCTAGTATAAGAAATTAAATTCAGTAACATAAATTACACTTATACAGTGTATATACACAATACCCTACTGTTAATTTTATAATTATAGAACCTCCTACCATCTAGAAGCCCATTCATAATAAGCTTTTGCATCTTATAGAAAGCAACAGATCTTTTTACCTAATGCACTTGAAAAGAAAATTCAAAGAATACATATTCTGTGTTTAAAAGCTTCAGAAAGAAGAAACATTAGCATAATTAGAGTTGAAATCTACTGTGTTGCAACAAAATGATCTGTTCTGTGGTGTACTTACCGCACTGAGAAAAGCTTTCAATAATGGCGAGATATCTTTGTCTAAAGCCTGCTGGATGAATGAATGTAGTAAAGTACCACCCACAGCACCTACACATGATGTAAGTTCACACCCATGTTCTAAAAACACCTTGGCTAAGACAAGACAGCCCTGAAACCCATTTTAGTGGATATTTAGTAAATAACAACAATGAAGATTAAAGTAATATTTGACTAAAGAACCATATGTTTAAAATTGATACACCAAAAAAACGTTTATACATGGATTTCTAAAAATTACATACTACAATTTCCAAACCATGTTATCTCTACAGACGTAAAATTACTCCTCTCTGAAACATTTTTTTCACTGTCGTTAGGAGAGATATCAGAAAAACAAAGTTATCCCTTATTTTTTAAACATTCTCTAGAATACTTTAATTCCCCTCATTGTTAAACCAACCACATTTGGGTCACTTCAATTGCTTTTGAGCTATGTTAGAAGACTCATTTAAATGCCTGTTAAACATTCGTTAATCTGTTTATAATTATCCTAAATATAGCAAAACATTTAAAATTCTGTTACAGTGTTTTACAGTAACAGGTTTTTCTTACCTTCTTCACAGCCAAAGAGAAGGCAGATTCTCCTGCTTTGTTCTTTTCTTTAGGATCACAACCATGAAAAATAAGAAGCTTGGCTATGTTTTCCACAAGCTGATCATGTTTTCTCTGATTCTGAAGCAAGAAAAAAAAAATATCCTCATTATTTAAAGCTGCATTACATAGCAACATGGAGAATAACTAACAAAAGTTGCTCTTTCCATAACAAACAACACCATTCAGAACAGAAAAAGAATGGTTGCCTTCAAATGTTCTACAATTCAGATGAAATTGGCATCTTTAGCTCTATGGCCCCTGGCACCAATTTTGAATTCCTTTCTGTGTATATACTGCATTATATTTAAAATTTAATTAAACCATTTTATTTTCATTATATACTTATGAAATGAACATGATAATGTATATTATAATTTGAATTGCTGTGTTATCTAAGTTATAATTCCTTTACTTCAAAAGAAACCTTTCAAAAAATACTTAAACTTCAGTTTTCGTGTCATGTTACCCATGAGCTATTAAAAATCTCAACTTCAGCACAGGTTCAGCACTAGCCACATAAGCTGGCAGTCTACATCTGTATGTATATGTAAAGTACATGTGTTTGAGATATTTCACAAGTGATATCCAAAGTCCACAAGTCGCTTTGTCTGGGAAACAGCTATAAATTTTCCAATCCTTAACAAGTGCCACACCCACCTTCTATACTTTCCCTCGAGATCTACTACGTACATGCAGCTTGTAGACCCAAGTGCATATACTCATTAGAAAGAGATCAGTTTATACATTTTCTCCACCAGCAGTTAATTTGAAATTGGCACACAGTATTCCTCACAGTATACATGTAACTGTTCTTAGTATTCTTGTGTGCTTGATCAAGTATAGCATTTATGGTGGTTTCTTACCTAAATATGTTATGATCAGAGAGACAGTTAAACTGTATTTAGGTCTTACTATCATATTTTAGTTAACTGTGTATTATTTGTGTTTTAAAAATCATGTTTGAAAGGTTTAATGATTTTTATAAGTTTAACTTGTTGCCTGGATTGTAAAAGTGAATAATCAAGACGGCATCATTCGCATGTGCAACTCATTAGCGTAAGGAGTGCCTGTGCAGGTGTGCCCGTATAGTAATAATAAAGCCCCAAGCAGACCAGTTTACATATCCTGCAGAAACGATAAAAGACAAAGAATTGAACAGAAACAATTAAAAATAAACTAACTGAAAAAATAAAGATGCAAAATTATTCATATTAAAAACCAAGTTTCAAAGAACTTCTACAAAGAGATAAAAGGTATGTATGTATTCCCATTTCTTCATTTTAAACATTTCATTGCAGTGTATGTTGATGATAATAGCTGGAGATATAGCAGACAAAATGGAGGTTCTAGAGATTATGGAAATAAGATATGAAACTGTAAGATAATAAATAGTATTTTTTATACTTCATATAAAAATCAACTTGCATGTGAACTATTCATAGTCAGAGTGCAAATAACTACACTAAATAACTAATTTTTTTATAAGAAAGAGTAGAAAAAATAAAAATTACATAATTTATTTTTTGAAAATACCAACTTTTACAAATTTTTGTCAAATTTTAAAAAATTTCATCCACTAGTTATATTTTCGGAACAAAATATGACAAGAGCGATGTTAGCTGCCAAGAATCCTGGCAGCCAGGTCTAACAGTATTAACTAATAGAAAACCATTATTTATTTAAAATAGTACATGCAACATCGCCCATCTCAAATTCTAAAACACCATTTATAAAATTTTGATGTAAATGAGTGTTCCGGCCACCTTCTGAATAAAATTAAAAAAATATTAATGCGCTTCAAGCTCAAATCTCTATACATAAAGTGTAAGATCTTCAAAAAATGATAAAGGTTTATTGTAACTTAATAAATACAATACGTGGATGAAATATATCATCTAAAAATATATTTTCAGTTTTCAAATATCATCAACCTAATTCCTCTTACCTACAATATCTATTTGAAAATTTCTTTTAATACATAATTATTTATCTGAATAAAGTAAAATACAACATAAACTTGGGTTTTCTCAACTATTTCATTACTGATTTGAGCTTTAAATAAAATTATTCAAAAGTAATTCTAGTTTATAACATTTAAATCTAAATTATAATTATCATATTCATTCTACACAGATACTTCAGAGAGAATCATTTTATAATAATCGTCAAGACAGAAAACAAGTTAAACAAAGAACTTGTAGTTCAAACTTACTTCTTCCTGCAACATTTCATCCAGTTCATCTTCTGGAAAACTCTTCTGGTGTTCTTCAGAAACTAAGCAATTGTCTTCTTCACCTTTGTTCTTAAAAAAATTAAGAGAATTAAAGTAACAAACGAAATATGCTAACAATAGAGATAATGGATTCAGGCATACATAACGCCTGTCAAATTCAAACTTAACTGTTATTTAGAAAGCTTCTGTAACCAGGAAATTATCAAATCAAATCACATCAAATGTTATGACTGAAAAGTCGTGTCTTAATGGATAAAATGTTTGGTAAAATATTGGGAACTATCTCTACGTACTTGTGTGAATGTTTATCACGTTTTGTTGTTAGTGTAATGTTATGGTTGCATGGCTAGGATGGAGAGCTTTTCTCTTAGCTAGAGAATCTGTGGTCCAAGTGAATAATGCAATGGAGTGCAAAGGTAAGTAATTTCTAACCCTAAGACTACTAGAAGAACAGCAGAAGAGATTTGATAGATTTTTGTAAGTGTAGTTAAATGTTTATTGTTATTTCACCAAGTAGGCTCTTTATCAAAACATTTATCAAAGTATTTTTAATTTTAACATGAAAATTATTTTCCACACAGACTATTCAAAACAAATACTCAATATATTCATGGACAAATCTTTATTTTATCTTATTAAAAATACTTCATTAAAAAATACTATTTTTTGAATGTGAAAGACTGCCAAATTTTGTGAAGATAACAAACTATATTGAAAGTTAGAAGTATTAAATCTATAAAGACTTTAATCGAGTACAAAGAGGTCACGTGGTTGGTCAAATTGACCGAGCCCATGTTGAGAGATTAAATTATTATTATTATATTCACTGCACACACACACACTTCAGAGAAAAGCTCCAATTATTACAAACCAAAGTTATATCTTATTTTTAAACTAAAAACTTCTAGGAGTGAGAAACAATGGAAGAAGCTGATGACTAAAATATGAGTTATGAATAATTAGATCATAGGTTTTAATCCTTTCAGAAAATACTTTTGCAATAATATATGCTGAGGTTTAAAAATTACTTTAATATCACACATTTTAAAAACCTTCGGCTTTAAGCCGTTAATTACATGAATTTCATCATTATATGTTTTAACAAAATCATACAACCTAGTATCATTCATTATACCATCATCAACTTGCAAATTTCAAAATAATGCCCTTATTTCAAAGGAACAGCCCCAGAAAGGAAAATTAATGAAACAATCATTAAAATATCATGACATTTCAATAGTAGGTTAATATTTCAAACCATCTGTAATGAAAAGTTCATTTTCAGGGTAATTAATGTTGTTGTTGTTTTTTTCTTTTAACATATGAAACTAATTAAAAAATCTGCACAGTAACCTTCAAATATTATGTCAGACTACAAAATGAAAATCATTTACAAAACATCAAACTGAAAGGAAGATTTAGACAGTTCTCTTTCTTTAATATAGCTATTCACAAACAACATTTAATAAGTACCTCCTTATCATGTTGGAAACTTCTTGCAGCACTCATTTCATCAGCTTCCTGAAGAACTAAGTGATGAATCTGTCATGGAGAAAAAAAAATTCAAACTGTTTGTCTTAACACGCTTCAAAGAATTAGAAATCAATGCTAATAGACATTATATGATATTCTTACAAAGAGCTTTCATATGATATCGCGGTTCTAAAAAGTTAAAGGAAGTGTAAAATATTTCTATGAAAGCTAAGACCATAACTTATTTGTACTTTCCTAATTCATTCTACAAAGCAACATACATGTTTGAGAATTATTACAGCAACAAGCACTAAGTCTCTAATAATTATATTGGAAATTAGAAACTTGCAAAAGTTTCCCTCATAAATTGTTAATATAAAGGTGATGACATGAATTTTATTATTCAAAAATAACTGAAATTTCTTTATATAGAACTTTTTTTTGTCTTATTACAAGTTATTGAACATCATAACAATAGCTTGTAACAAGCTTGTTATGATACCTAATTACTCATAACAAAATCATTCACATAATAATTTATACTTAAAGGTAACAGTATATTGCAATTTTGAAGGTGTGCCTTTCAAATGAGCTCAGACTATAACAATACTTTCACTGTAGCTTACCTAATTTCATTTATTTTTATAATCCTAGATGTTTTCCAAAATATAAGAGAAAGATTCAATACTTTTTCTACTACAGATATATTAAAATAGTATATTTTAAATACTTTCTAAAAAATGAGGATAAGTCAAAATCAATCTTTTTGAAGAGACCACTAAAAAACACTGAGTAATCTCTAAATACTTCTGTTTGCATACAAAAAAAAACACTAACCTATTAATTGTAATACTATTAGTGAACATAGGTCAAAAGGCTGAACAATGATTTATGTTGTACAACTTCACAATCCAAGAAGGAAAAACACTGAATAACACAAACAATTAAAATCAATAATTAAATACATACAACACACACAAATTTAAAATAATAAAAAACACAATATGCAATACTTACAGCATTATTTCCAAAGAGCAGATCTTTCTTTCTACAGTCACTCTTGCACTTTACTAACAAGAATTTGAGCCTTTGAAGCTGTGTTACATTAATTCTGGACCTTACAGTGTGCATTACTAGAGACATATCTATTGATAAAAAAGAAAAATGCATTATTTCCTTAAAAGCTTTAACACAAATATAAGCAGAAAATTCACAGATAATTTAAAACAACTAAGTGATATGGATAAATTTACAGTACAATCACAGAAATGGCAGAAACAACCTTAATAAACATTGTGTGCATGTTTACATTTCTATTATAATATTCTTAAATATTATGATTTTTTATCTTTTTGCATGCTATGTTTGTTAGCTCTGTTGAAGTAATTACTTTGGAATTTCTCAATTGCTTTACAGAAATGCAAGTTTATAATTTAATACTATAGTTTTACAATGGATTTTACTTTGACACGAGCTTAGGGATTAGCAGGGAGTCTCTTTTTTAAAATAAATCTACATAATATTATAAGTTACAGCTTTTACAGTAAGTAAGATTTGATTTTAGGACAGGTACAATATCACTGGTGCGGTCATTCAAAACGAAACTATTAATTATATATAATGTCTTAAAATGAGTACAGAGATTTTTAAATATGATACATTATGATACATACTACCAAATGATATTAGGTTTAGTAACATAAAAAAGGTTTTATTGCAGTATTAATTTTTAAAAAATAGGTTTATGCACGATGTTATTAGGTCTGTAATCACAATATTGCTTTCAGGCCAACAATTATAAGCACATTGTGCAACAGCATAGTATAATTATGATACACATTATAAATTGTAAATGTCATGATATAAAGGACTGTTTAGTGTAGGTAGTATTAATTAACATATTTTGTGAGTTAATATTTTATGACTGTTTACTGTTGTTTTGTTTTTTTATAATAAGAAAGTTAAAAGCAGATCATTGTTGGAAGTTGTGTTTATAATTCATTGATACTGAGACTATCGAATGTTGCACGCAATACATTTAAATGGAGAATATAGAGGTTTCTAGAAGGTGGGCAGACAATTAAATGATAAACATATAAATAGTGTGAGACGAGCAGAAACAGCAGACAAACAAAACAAATGAGAGACTAGAGAACGAGATGTAGAAGTGTGGCCAAAGAAAAGGTTAGAAAATAAAAGTTAACTGTTGTACGAATGAATAGCCTAATGGTTGATATGTTAATATGAGATTAACAGTTTTCTGATACTTTAGGAGAATAAACTGTCTCGTCAAAGAATATTCTAAAGCAATTGAACCTGCTTCTGTGGACTTTGACAAAAAGCAGACGATTATTGGAAGTAGGCCTAAATAAGAAAAAGCAGATGAGTATTGTAAGTTCAGGATAGAATTGCAGTAACTCAACGAGGCAGAGTAAATGAATTATACACAGAATACTAGTACAATAGAAAGAGAGAGAAAGTTCGGCTTGTCAAATGAAATTCTAAAGCAATTGAATAGGCCTAAGTGAACTTTTGACAAGAAAAAAGAGAACTATATATAAATAGTGTTTATGATATGTCTGTAATATCTATAGAATCAAGAATTTGTTGTACACACGTTTAACTTGTTCTGAATATATATATTATTTTGAAAATAAGCGGAGTGCGTGCTGTTCATTTATCATTGAATTTATTGCCAACAAGTCACAGACACCTACTGTAGAAGAATCCTAAGGCCAACAACAACAACAACACGTTATATATATATTTATACTATCAAGAAGTATAAGTAAAAGACTAACTGATAATTGGCAATCACAACTTAACATAAAGGTAACAAAAAATTTATCTTAAGTTGAAAAACATTCAATAGTTATTGTGCTTAGTGCTTTGTGCATGTGTTTCAGATATAGTTCCATTTAAGAGTTATTAAGTTTTATAGTACAAATGCATAAGTGGCCTATATAATGCCATTCAACTGAAAATGGTTGATACATACCTAATGAGAATTAACACTTAAGCCTTTATACTTATAACAAAATATTTCACAAATTAACAAAAATAATTACTTTTCCATTTGTTTAGTTCATTCATAACAGGGGTAAAAAAAAATTTTAAAGTGCAATCCCACCCCAATATTAATTTAAACATCCATTTAATGAAAAGTTTGTTTTTTCCTTCTCTTCTAAAGCAAAAACCCTACACTATCATAAAATGTGACAATGATACAAAACAAAGCATTATATAGCTTAGATCTCCAACTTTCAAGTCTCAATCAATACTGCTAAGATCTAAAACTAGGCCTTCTGATGGGCATTAGGACACCTGCTTTGTTTTATTGCTATTACTGTTAGTCCAGGTCTAGGCCTAGGTATACATGACAAGAGGCAGAGCAAGTACAAACAAGTATTTGTTATTCATTGCCTGTCAGTCAGTGGTGCTACAGAACAACTTGTAGTAACAATAGTTTGTCTCAAGTCATGAAGAAGCTAGAACAAGATGCTCCTAGATTTTTAATGAGATTGTGTTTGAGTTATCAAAAAGAAACTATCAATTTGGCAGACATTTGTCCATAGTCCAAGGTAGTATTAGTGCTCTTATAACACTCAAAAGTTAAGCCTGGTCCATGCTTGTAATGTATTTTTGATCTTAAATTCTATCAGAACCAGGCATAGACTATCAATAAAGGTCTATACACATGGTGATAAAAGAAGAAACATTTCTGACAAATCAAAGGGCTTGTCTGTCAACAATTTGGTGCAGAACTTCAATGACAAGTTTCTCAATACAAATATTATAGAAGCATTCAAAATATTTTATCACAGTTTGCAAACAGAACATACTCTAGAAATCTATGGTGATGTTGAATTAGAAAATCTCATTCAGCACTAAAGTTTCTACAAAGTTGCAGATGAATCAACCTATGAGCCTATGGTTGATCAATGTTAATTAAGATGAAAATGGCTAAATATCAAATATGTCATGGTCTCATTCAGATATGTTAATGTTACTTAATTTATGTGAACTATAATTACAAAATATGCATCAGACTATACTACAATCTGTAAGTTCAGGACCACATTTTATTGTTTTCAGTCAGTTGTTAAAGGGATACAGTACATACAGACAAATTAAAAGATTTACAAAACACTTATAGTTACAAGGGTGTAATAACTGATGTTGATCAAACTGGAACAACCACCAGTGGCAGAGTATGACCAAGTTTATACAAGCTGCCACAACAACAGAAAGAAGCACAGTTTTTAGCCTTTAACTATACAAACAATTACAGAACATTTAACTACAGTCATGGCAGGCTCAGGGATGTTGCTGCAATCAAGAATTCATAAAGTAAAAGTATTTCACAGTATCATAAGACAAGTAGCTATAAATTTTATTATATATATTTATGTGTCCAAGATGATTTTTAGAAGCATTTGGCACCAGGCACACGTTAATTTCACTTCCTGCATTAGATTAGATAGTGCAAATTAATCGATTACCAATGGGCAGTGATTAGATTAATTAGTGACATGTAAACTGATCAATTAATCAAAATTAGGATTAAATTGATTAATCAAATTAGTGTTTCCAAATACTCCAACAACTGATTATTCAAAATACCGATTATGTCAACTGTCTCAATATAATCAACTAATCAAAATTAGGGGTTCCCATTATTACTATTTTCAATTATTTCAACTATCCAGGTAATTGAAATATTGGTAACAAACTTTCTTGCCCTGTCTCTGTTATAGCAAACTACTGCCAACCTTTTGTTGTTTTTTTTAGTATTATCATTATTTTGTTCTTCAATGATCAATTAAAATAAAACTTTGTGTTTATTACACAATTCTATTTTTAATATACAGTATTAACACAGCTAGCTGCTCAACTAACATTTGTAACACCACAAAATGTCTCAAAAGTTAAATTTCTAGTACATTTATTTTTATGTTTATTATACTAACTTAGTTCTTAAAAGAAATTTATTAAGGAAATAAATATTTATCAAAGAAGAATTGTTTGGTCAAAACTAACTTTGAAGAACTTTATTGAAGCATCAGATTTAAACTGACAGCAATCCCAACATGTGCAACAATAACAAAATGCATTTATGTCGAAACAAATGTAGCAGACTGAAGATATTTAAATGTCATTACTTAAGTAATCAAATACTATAAAACACAGGTGTGTATCTGTCTGTCTGTCTCTCAATCACGCACTGATGTCATAGTAACTTATTACATAATTTAAGTAGTGTGGCTTTCTGTCAATTAGAAGCGAGTAATCTATAATTGATTGAAAATTAAAGATATTTTTGGACTAAAATGTACAAAAAATTACACCTTTTTTTCCCAATTTAAAAACATATTTTTGTTAAATCATTGAATTACACCAGAAAGGATATAAATATACCTTAGCAGACATTTTATACAACATATTAAAAGCATATCAAAGTTTTTAAAAAGGTCTAACACTAGGTTGTAGAATAATATTAGAATATTTATTAATAGTATTAAGTTTGGTAAGGTTTAGCCCTAATTGAACTAAAGCAAAAAATATACACAAGTTACAGCATTAATTTATCTCTTTATCAAATACAGGCTGTACTTAATAAAGGCTGAACTAATGTTAGGACTAAAACAAGTGGACTTGTAGATTTCAGTGCCTGCGATTAGAATTCTTTTGTATTACTCTAGAAATCATGTATTTAAAGAAGTACTGTTGCGACAAAGATACTTATTTGACTGCAAATGTTTTGCAGGTCTCTGCTAGTAACAAATACTACATAACAGTAATAAATAGCACTTTCAGCTGATACAACACTTTAACACTAAAAATTAAGGCAACTACCAGTATCCTGGTCCTATAAAATAATAATAAAGCGCACCAGTGTTAATATATGTTAATTATATTATAGTCTTAAAGAGTTGAAGGAGAAGATTTTGAAAATCACTAAAAACACATGAAGAAAAGCTTACCACTCTCACCAACGTATACATTCACATCTACACTGGGTATTTCCAAAAGAAAATCAACAAGCCCCATGTGTCCTTTCAAAAATGCCACAGCCAGTGGGGAAACCTGAAAACATTAACAGCTTATAATACCTCTCAATCAACACAAACTGTACATAACTATAATAATCAATATGTTCTAATATGTGCTAACACATTAACCAGTCTAAATAACTGACCTACAGGTGACAACTTCAGAAGAGACAACATATTGTAAAAAACATCACTAACAATAAGTTGAAAATAAACAATACACAAGTCTTAATTTCCAGCTCAATAACGAAAGCAAATTTGTAATACATGAACTTCCTATAAAAGTTTAATATTATCAAACAGAAAATTAAACAGCTAACAACTACCTATCAACAGAATAGATAAATATTTCATTCTAGATATTTCTTTTCTGTGAAAGTTTCATTTTCTAAAATGTATGATGATTTTTTGTTGGGGGGAGGATTAAATATAAATATTAAAAAATATTACTTAAAAAATAACAGCATATAATAGTTCCAGTTGCCCACAAACATATCCAAAAAATTAAAAGTCTATAATTCACTCAAAACTAGTGATATCACATAATGTTAGCAACATTCAGAAAATATTGATTTGCAACAGTATAGTCAACACCTCCAAATAAATCAAAAAGCATAACTTGAAGATCCAATATGATAATAAATACAATAGAAACATTTAATGAGGTGGATAGTAAGAAAGATAAGAAAGTAATCAACCATAAAACATGGATGTAAAACAAAAAGGAATTCTGAAATAGATTAAACACTTTTAAAAAAATCCACTCTTTTGCATCATATTATTATAATTATTACAACCAAAACAGATAACAGAAATACATAAAATGTGCCTGATTGTTAGCCATCAGACACATGCATATAATAATGTTTACATTTCTTATATTTCTCGAGGTTCAAGTCTATTTATACATTATAAATTATCAAATACTCATCAACCTAGAACATTTCAATGCCTGAAGGCTCTACAGATTTTATTGTTGGAAACAACAATACGTGCAGAAAGAAATAATTTTGAACCCTGTTGTCCATGTATGCATATTTTTACTTAAATGCAAATACAAAATATTTATAAAAATAATAGATAAATCAATCAATAAACCACACAACTTCCCAAGAGCACTGGAATAAGTTACTAGATGTACAATGAACAACTTAAATAAGAACCATTTAAAAAGTTCTATTACATTCACAACTACAAAACTTTAGCAAACTTTACCTAAATCTTAGGTAACCAAATCCAAAAAAGAGACATTCAATATATGCTTTATGCAATAACATTCTCAGCAAATCTGGGGTCCCAAGCAGAAGGATGTGTGCATGCAAGGCACATCAAAATTAAGTCTTGGATATTAGGTGCCAAAGCATTATTTTTAATAACAGGTTGAATAATTGGAATAAGAAAATTAAAAACATTATTCCATAGTTGTTTGGAAAAGAACACGACCCAAGATAGTTACTTGTTTTGCTTCTTTTCAATTATATTAATTAAAAAGGTAAGGAAAAATACACTTCTTGAACAAATGCAAGACAACACTCACACTCAGCAGCTCCTAGTTCACAACACACTTTTTTAAGCATCCTCTAATATTTCTACAGTTGCCTACTAACTGATTCATACCTTCAAATCATTTGCCACATTTGGGTCTGCTTCTGCTTCTACTACCAACAACTTTAAACAGTAGTACCACCCATATGCAGCAGCATAATGGACTAAAGTATTCCCTGAACTGTCCTTGGTGTTAGGGTCTGCTCCAATCCTGAGCAGGTATGAAGCCACATGAGCATGACCATTAATAACAGCATGGGTGAGAGCTGTCCTATACTTCTTGTCTGTTAGTTATAAAAGAAAAATTAACTTTTTGATTTCCTTTATTATAAAAAACACTTAGTGAACAAAATGCTATTCTCTATTCAAATCATGGATAGAATGGTGTAAGATTTTTGTAAAACAATTCAAAGTGGCTCAAAATTTAAATTATATTTATCTTTGAATTAAATTCAACAAATCAGTTGAAATGAAAAAGTAAATATTTTATATAAATTGAAATTGTGAAAAAAGTAGGCATGTTACAAAGTTTATAAATAAAAATACAAACAGAAATAATTATTTAATGATGATCAAACTATGGACAGACAGCTTTTCAAATCCATTCCAAGTGTAGTACAGTACTGGTACTTCACCTCTAACTTCTACCAGACATCTTCCTTTCTCCACAAGGAACTTTACTATTGGTAAATACCCCTGTTGTGCAGCTAACATAAGAGGAGTTAATTTATCAGCAGCAGCAGATGTTGGCTTGTTGACAGAGGAATATTTGAGTAAGACTTTCACCACATTCTAGACAGTCAAAAGAAAGCAACATACATTTTACCTTATAATATCAAAAGCTACATGATGAAGAAAAAATAAATACTAGAACTTAATTATAAAATTTCAATTTCACTTTGGAATTGCCAATAAGTACCAAGACTGATGTACAAAAGAAACACTACTTTTGTTCACCTAGTCACAATGAAGCTCCACTGGATGACATCCTTTGTCATCACTCTAACTTGAGTTACAAGAGAAAATAATGCAGTAATGGTTTAACTAATATTACCTTACGGGTTTTATTTCAAAAACACAAACTGTTGTTCTGCAATTCTTGGTAGGAGAAAATATGCAATACATTAGAGTGTGAGACAGTATTTAACATCAGACTGCAATAAGACGAACTTGTAAATTTCCAGGCATTATATTAGTCTTTGATCCACAGAGAAACAAAATAGGCTCAAGAAACTTGCCTACCTTCTAATTAACGTGAATGATGTACATTTCACAAATCCAACAGGATGTTAACATGATAAAACTTGTGAATACATTCCATACAGTTCAGGAAAAGATATAATGGCTTCTATATCTTTTTAGTCTATCAAAAGTAGTTAAACTGGTATCCTGGTTCATACTGAAGTGCTCTGATCAATTTCAAGCACTTTTCAAGGACTTTCTAAGCACTCAGAATGTTTTTCAAGCACTTTTTTGGAAGCTAAAATCTATATCAAAATCAATTGGATTCCACTGATATTTTATAAAATTCCTATTTATTTGTTCAACTTATGAATGTAGACTAAAAAGAAAAGAAAGACTATTTATTGCACTCAACTCTGTAACATTCATTAAAATTAGATATAACAATATATTATGCTATTATAATATTTTCAAGTACTTTTGCAAAAAAAGGCCCCTTTTCAAGCACTTTGAAGCCCTTGAAATTCCATTCTCAATTTCAAGGACACATATGCACCCTGTGGTGTGTGTGTGTATATATATATATATACACTGAAAAACTAAAAAGGAAATATATCTCTGTGTTTTTACACAAATCACTTACATTATTTGTTTATGAACCCATAATAAAATCACATACAATAAAAACTAAAAATCTGATAGGTGAAAAATTCCCAGTTTTTATTTTTTGACCAATATCATGCATTCATATGAATAACAAGAGTGCATCAATATTTTGGAAACATTCAAAACAGATTACAAATATGTTTTCTGTTGTTCCTTTTATAGTAATAATAATTGCTTTTGTAAGATATGAAAGACAATTTATTTTAAAAATTGAACAAACCATAATCAAAGGAAAAGTCTAGAAAATAACACTTAGAGTTTTCCCTATAAAACATCTTCCTAAAACCTTATGAATAAACAGTGGGAAACATTAATGGTAAAACTCAAAAGTTTAAAATTTTGTACTCAAAAATCCCCACAAAATAACTTGAAATATTCAAGAAATTCTTTAATAATTCTTGTTTTAAACACATACTAATTATTATTTTATTTGAAAGTAAAATGTACTTGAATTAACAATATCAAATTTGTTCACAAATTACTTAGTTCAATCATACCATTCACATTATAAATATATACATATGTTCAGATCCTATACACTATTCCTAAAACATGAACCAAACTAAACAAGAACAAGTTCAAATTTAACTAAATAAAAGTTAAAACATTACAAATGCAGATCTTTATTTGAATGACTTTGTATGAGGTTATTTTTTCAAAGATGTTGGGTTTTAAATTTTCATGATCTTAAAACTAGACACACCTTATTAACTAATGATATCAGCCAAGTAGATTAGAAATAGCTAATTACCAAATGGCCATGTAGCACGGCAAGATGCAATGGGGAGTATGACTTTTTATTCAGTCTCTCACATCCACAAACACCAAATTTATCCACAGAAGAATCTTCATCCTCGATACCAGACTGAGCTGAAATATTAATGTATCAGAAAAAATATATTTTCTTAAAATTGCTTCCACAAAAGAGAAATTGATTCTATATATGCAGAGATAAAGTATTTTCATAAAGATTTTGGGTATTACAAGTGTATTTTCTCATTCTATTTTAAGCAAAAAAGTTCCTATATCACTTTTCTTGGTAATTTTTTCCTTAAATTAAGAATCTAAAACTTTCATATTTTAAACGTAGTTTTTAAAACAAAATTCGTTATTTAGGAGTTGCATCAGAAACCAGTTTAACCCACACTATGTCACAAACATGTATTTTTGATAGATTACAGTCTGATACTTTGAATTTTAAATGCAATTATAATCTGAAAAAAAACTACATAAAGAACAGACTGATTAATCTATTATGATCTACAAACAGTAAAGAGCAAACGAGAACAATATTATGGTGTCTACTATTCTCGTATATCACAAGTAATGTATTACCATAGTACACATGATACCTGAAGAAACAGTCTACATTGTGGTGTCTAACTCTGGTAATGTATTACCATAGTACACATGATACCTGAAGAAACAGTGCAGATTGTGGTGTCTAACTCTGGTAATGTATTACCATAGTACACATGATACCTGAAGAAACAGTCTACATTGTGGTGTCCAACTCTGATAATGTATTACAACAGAACACCTGAAACCTGAAGAAACAACAATTTACATCGCAGTATCCAATTTTGGTAATGTATTACCATAGCACACATGGTACCTGAAGAAACAACAGTCCACACTGTGGTATTTAACTCTGGTAATATATTACCATAGTACATGTGATACCTGAAGAACCAACAGTCTACACTGTGGTGTCCAACTCTGGTAATATATTACCATAGTACATGTGATATCTGAAGAAACAACAGTCTACAATGTGGTGTCTACCATTCTAACATACAGCATTAGATGCATGTTACCAACAATGATCTAATATATTTACTACATGAAGAAATGGTGAGCTTAAGCAGCAGCTCTACATTTTGGTGTCTACCAGTATAGCATACATCATTTAATACGTTACCAACAACACCTTATGCTTTAATATATTTATTACCTGAGGAAACAGTGGTGTCTAACACTCTGGCATACAACATACATATGTTAACAGCAATGCCTTAAGCTCTAATATATTTAATATGCTAAGAAATTATGTGCTAATGCATCAGATCCACATTATGGTGCCTGACATCCGACATATAACATATGATAAATGTTGCCAAGAATGCATTATGCTCTAATATGTTTATTACCTGTAGAAAAGGTGTACTTAAGCAGCAGCTCCACATTGTGGTGTCTACCAGTCTGACATGCCAGATGAAGGGGGGTGTTACCTTCAGCTTCAGTTTCATAAATACTTACATTCCTATGTAACAAAATATATTGACATTTTTACACTTTATTTTAAAATATCTCAAAATATTCGAAGATACTACAAAATAAACAGACAGTATGCCCAAATAAGAATAATCAGGGAATGATACTGGACACATTTCCATATAATAAATGCTAAGAAAGGCTTAAACAAGTTTTAATGATCATCTCTGTTCTTGTAAATTGTATTTTGTTACTGGATAAATCAGAATTATTGAAGTATTATTTCAAAATAAAGCTGATGATTAATTTCTAAGAAAACGTTTGAACCATAAACATTAATGTGCACTAAATTCCAACTCTTTTCAAAACCAAAAGTCTCAAACTAAAATTGTGTATTTTTCATAATGGATATGTTTAACTATTGTTTATGAAAACTTCTAGTATTAGTATTATCAGTATTATCTCTTCTATATATTAGTTTTTTTGTATGTCCTCATTGACAGGAAGTATAAATGACATAAAAATTATTCTCCTTACCTTGAAAGCAGAAGTTCCAGGGGGCCTGTACTCTGACAGGTGGCAGCATAGTGGATTGGTTGCCACCCATCACTATCTACCACGCTACATTGAGGAACAACTGATAACAGTGAAGACAGGTATTTGGAATTAGGGTTAATGGCAGCGCAATGGATTGGTGTGACCTGTAAGATTTTAAAAATAATATAATCAAAAAATTTAAGATTCACATTTCACTAATCATATTTGTCAAATGCTGCTAAAGAAATGGGGGTGGGAGTATGTTAAAATTTCTGTGAAAAACAAAAAAATTTTGTCAAATTGAACCAAACAACAACTAACTGTTTAATTACTTTCACTCTTTACTTAGAATCAAATAATGCAGCTCTTTACGAAAACAGAGATTATAAGAAATCATTTTTTAAACGTTATATGAACAACTTAAGCACAGTAAAAAAAACAAACTAAAGAAGACCAAATTAAGTCATCTCTTTAAATTCAATAGTGATTTCTTGAGATTTCTATAAATAATTATTTATTTAAATCCTCAAATTCTTAAAAAATAAAACCTGATAATTTTACCTTTGAATTTTCATGTGTATTTTTTAGGACTGATGATGCTTCAAAGTCGTTTAGTGGCTTACTTTCATTCAAGAGTACCTACAATAAAGAAATTTACTATAAGCACATTTTGATACTTAAGATACTAGAGCTTTAGAATGTAGATAATACGTATTAACTTGTATACAATAACACATTAAACTTTGTCACGTCTGACCTTTTCTTGTTTATACTAGGCTGTATTATATTAAAGACTATGCTATAAAAACAGAGTTCTCAGATTTTTTTATTTCAACTTTTCCACACCTTAATATTTAAGTGACTACCACTAAACAAGATTCCTCAGTTTAATACAGTTAGTTACAATACCAATTAAAATGTCTAAGTATACAATACAAATAATAACTGTACAGCTCGAGGTATTATTTTGCTGTGATAATTAATTTTTTCATGAAATATATTTCATCACCTTAGATTTGAA